CCGGGGTCCCCCCCCCCCCCCCCCCCCGAAACGAAAGTTCATTCACGGAAGCATCGTTCGCTCGGCAGTTTCCCCATTGGCGAAGTCACGTTCGGAAGCGGCGAGGTTTCAACGTCGGAGAGAAGCTGCTTCCAGGAAAGTTCGGCGAACAATCCTCTCGGCCGGTCGATTGTCCGGCGAGGCGCGACTCGGACCTAACCTGTGAACCCTTTCGCTGCGTTTTCCGATCCATTGGAGGCGTGTAGCCGGTGGCCCCCGGGGCCCGTGGTCCCGAGCAGGGGCCACCGGTGGGGCGCGGAGCCATTCACGAACTCGTGGAAAGCACAATGGCCCGTCCAACTTGGCGCGTCTGTCCGCTGCCGTGCGGCTATCTAGGCAAATCCTCTCTCTCTCTAGGCCCGGAATAGCAGCAGGTTTCATTGAGAGCGAAGCCACCGAGCAATTTCGTGGCGGCATTGACTGCGCTAAGGCGACACTTGGCTCGGTGAATTGGCAGGAAGCCCGCGCCGCTTAACTCCTCTTTGTACGAGATTATCACCGGCTACTCGGTACTCGGCCCTACGCCGCCGTCAACCGCGTTCGCATTGTCGCCGTCGGGACCCTTCACGATTCCTCGACGAGAGTCTTTCCCCGTGATCGATCCGCTTCCACCGTCTCCGACCAGGTCCTGCCCGCTCCTGGCAGGTGACGGCTAACCACTCGAATCCTGCCGCACCGAATTTACTCGACGGTCCAAGCCTTCGTTTAGACACGGACCACGCTTCTTAGAAGTTCGCCTATTTTCTCCAGCTGGTACATCGACGGTATATTATAGACATTTTTGAGCCGTACGCTTCTCGGAGTTAACGGAGACAGCGTTTATTTCCCCGTAGTCGAAGAACTAATCCGCGGAGTCTCTCAATATTTGAAGAGGAAGTCGCGCAGCTGCTGCAGAAACTGCTCGTGAGAAGCGAAGCACCGACTCGGAGCGAAGTAGCGAGAAGGTTCTTCGGTAGCTTTTAACGCTGCATTCAGCAGATCCCGGATTAATAGTTCATAGGCGACCTGTTGATCGTAAAGTTTCCGTGATTTATGAGATTCCTGGAGCAGCGGTAGGGTCGCGGAGGGACCGTTGCATCGCATTCGATCAAACACCGCGGTACTTCCTGTTCCGTCCGAGGTTCGTTTGCCGATCGTTAACATCGGTTTTTAAACAGCGGCACGGCGCGGCACGGCGCGCCGGTGTGTTTGCACGAGAGGAACTAATGGGCGACAAAGCCTCGGCAGCCCGGAGGCCGTTTATCGCCGCGCTTTCTCGGTTAGCGCGTTTAACACCGTATCAACTGACCGCATAATCATCGTCGTACGAACTGGAATAATCACTGCCATGCCGCGAGAAACACCGCGCGCGCTTCGGCTAAGCGAATTAGTGGTGCGTGCCCTTGTCCATTCTTTTTTTCCGTCCACCGTCTTCTCGCCTCGGGCCTCGTTAAGCGCAGGCGTGCTAATGCCACCGGCACTCTTCGCTCAAGAACGTCGAGCACGTTGCCTCTGTTCGCGTCTATCGATTTTGAGCGAGTTTTCTGGCTGCCGCGTCCTCGACCGCGGTGCTATCGTCGCGGTGACTCGATAGTTGGATCGTTTGTCGCGCCTTTGACCTTTCGTCGTCGTCGTCTTTGAACAGGGAGCACGTCTTTCTCGACAACGCGTACGACGGAAAGACGAAGCTACCGGATTCGATCAATTTTTCCGAGACGAGAATTTAATTGCTGCACGGGCTGCTCCCTGTGCACCCTTCCGCGTATCGATTCGCAAAGTTTCATCGAGACGCGATCTCGATTTCATCCCAGCGCTGTCGGTTATTCGATAGAGGCTCTACGATTACGGAACATCGAGCTCGACCAATTTATTTGTTTCAAGGTTTATCATATATTTCAGAATCGACTGTATTATTTCGGTAATAAACCGGCTTCGAACGAGATCCATTTCATCGTGTCAGTTTCCTGCATTCTTCGCTTTTCATATTTCAAAATAAAGCACGCGCGGCTCGAAATGTTGCGCCATCGAGTCCGAGTTTACGCGGATTAAAACAACACATTGAGTTCAACGTTTCAGTCGCGATGCGTCGATGAAATCAAATAAATTGCTGTTACACCCATTTTGGAATGGAAATGGCCCGATTCCTGCGATATCCGGAATAACGATGTCTATCGTTGAAACTTCGGATTTTTCGATCGTGACAGCGGATTGCCGGAACTTTTACGATGTCGCGCGTTTATCGAGCATCGAGTTCAGCCTCCGAATCTTCGTGCTTTAAAAAATATCAACGTAGAACGTGCCAAATCATTTTTAAGGGAAGGTGTTCTCGCTCTTAGCATCGAATAGATAGCGATCGGCGGTTGAAACATAGTCTACGACGATTCGAGAGATCGACGTTTATCGCTTCTCCCGTGCTGTCTGCGCGCAGTAAAGATAATTCGATGACCTAAAATAAAAGGCGGCCATCCCGGCGATAATATTCCGGCGAATAATTGTTTCGCGCGGAACGACGACCAATTACGCGCTCGCAATCTGCTCCTTCCGCCTCCCCTGCGCGCAATAACAATCTTACGGCCGGGCTCGCACTTTTATTGGCGATATTATCGCGCGTATAGATCTGTTGCGCGGCGTACGGGCGCCTTATCATAACGAACGCGCGTGTTGTCGGGCCGGATTAATCGATTTAACACGATTCCCCGAACCGGTGGCGGTTGTGTTAACGAGCCGTGTTGACCAGATAACATCGGACACGGTTTCTCGTCGCCGCTCACGAATTATAATTGGTCCGTAATTAATGACACCGTTGATATTGACAGGTGGACGGGGCCGCTGGTCGCTATCGGAGAAAGAGAGAGAGAGAGAGAGAGAGAGAAAGAGAGAAAGAGAGAAAGAGAGAGAGAAAGAGAGAGAACGTCCACGTGAACGGCGGCGGCGCGCCGCGCGAATTACGCGGGCCCCGCTGCGCCCCTTGATCCCTTTTTCAGGCTCTGCTTATTTTCAGACTTAATTACCTCGGATGTTACAGCATAATCACCGATCGCCGCGTGCACCATCGATCCGGAGATATCGAGAATACGACTCTCCCGGCTCCCGGCTGCCATCGTGCTATACGTGCCGAGTGCCGATGCACACCTTTCAGGAATCGTGCATAGATAACGATCCGAGGGAACCTCGATGTTTGTGAAATTTTACCGATGAAATTCGTCGACTCGGTTTGTAAACCGGTATCTTATTTCGAAGGGCGTGTATCGTTGAAACCGAAGCGATCTTTTCGCTGCAAAATCTGGAGAAATGGCTCAGCGACGGCGCGTACTTTTACCTGAAGCAATCGTTTAAAAAAATGGCCTATTAATTTTTTCGAAAGAAATTCCCAGAAAGATACTCTTCTCGGACACGATTGCTTCGTAAAGTACGCAACGATTGTAAAGCGATGTCCTTCGTGGCCTACGACTTCTTGGTTCTACAATTTCCACAATTTAGCGAACACTTTAACAAGATTTCTCTCGAAACGTTTGCAACGAAGGCTCTCAAAATCGTCGATAAAAATTTAATCTTTTAACTTCGGATACCGGTGTGCACCATTAGAGATCGACTACGTGTTTCGCGGTTCGATCGAAATTATTCAGGAAATTATTCGAAGTGGAGGGTAGCCCGGGCGAAACGAAGCCGCTGGTAAAAGGAATTCCGCGCTTCCCGGGTTTTACGGCTTCCGTTTAATGTACGGCCGATTCCGAGGCTTTAATTGGACACTCTTCTTGATCACGATCGACGATTCTCGGCGGACCTTCGTGCTGTCCATACAGGCGCGAGCACGCGTTCCCGTTTATCGAAATTGACTTTGTTGGATCGGCTTTTGATTGAATCTTTTTGCCTTTCTCCGACCCTGAAAACGTAATTTCCGTTGTTCGTTTACGCATTAACCGCGTGTATTCACGGCGTTGGGAATATTTGGAGATCGACGTCATAAATCCGGCATGGTAAATTCGATCGAATTCATTTCGAATTTCCCGACAGATCGTGCACGCGAAGGTCGGACTGTCCGTAATCCATTGATGCGCCGAACATTTTAAATCGGGAATCGTCGAATTTCTAATTATTAGGATAATTATTTATAAAAATAATAAACGAACGAAAAACCGGTATATTAAAAATGAAAATGCGAAGCTGCGCTACGTTGAATTCTTTATCGCGCCGACGTCGACACCTTTCGCAGCGAATTATTCTTTAATGAGAATAATCAAACTCCCAGAACGTAAGCTTTTAATATTTAACGGCTCGTAATGCGGTATCAGCAGAACGCTTATCGTCGTAAAGAAGTAAAAGAGAATCGCTTGGTTAGTCATGCTGGTAATCGCGCTTCGATTAATCGACAGAAACGGGGAACGACTACATACTTGGCAGGTACACGGGATCCCATGCAATTCTATATAGTCGACGCTACGATCGTCGCATAAAAATAAATATCCTGCGGCGGATTCGCAGAGTATAATTAACTTCTGAAGGGAGATATTGGTTCGGATAATTAAAATACACCCTCAATTTCTTCGTATCATAATACTTATTATTCACTAATGATACTTATCCAATGGCTTTGTGTGTTTCTGTTCATAAAAATGCACGTGTACGAAGTAATTTCGATCGTTGACGTTCGCGCGTGTTCGCGCGTTCGTGGGATACGCGTGGGTACGTGTAGGCGTGTGCATGTACGTGTACGTGTACGTGTATGTGCGTGTGTGTGCGAGAGTGAGAGAGATGCAGTGGAGGAGCGATCGATCGATCGATCGATCGATCGATACAAATGGCTCGAACGCTCGAGAGTACGTGCCTTGAATATGCGCAAGTAAAATGAATTTACGAAGAGAAGGACGGGAATATATTTATGCATACATACAAATATATATATATATATATATATATATATATATATATATATATATATATATGTATATATATGTATATGTATATCGATACGATCGCGTTGCTCGTTTCGATTCACTCCGGCAATCGAACCGAGGAAGAAGAAGGGCGTTATTCGAGAAACGAACGTATTACGTATGTACAACGATTACAATGCGGCCCGGCTTCCGATGAACAACAGTTTTACAAAAACCTATCATTATAACCGGCATATAACATTCAACAAACACAGCCCTCGAGTGAAACTTAATTAACCGACCGTCTAAACGAGGATCGTCCGGCTCGACGAGATTCATTACCGACAAACGTGTTTTTCGCTCCGCGCGATTCCCACGATCATACTTAAAATACGTTAACGTAGCCGTCTACTAATACGGATTGCCCTTAGGGACGCTTAAAATGTACGTTTCGCGACGCGAGCGTGACTACCGTTGTGAAAACGTAAACTGACAAACAAACGTACTTTCAACGATCTCCGCCGCAAGCATCTCTAGACGGAGCAGCAGCTAGCTCTACAAATTTAACCTCGCACCTTTGCAGTTCGATCGTCCTTTTGATTTTCATAGTCGCTTCGACTTACCGTGTCGCTGGCCGAACATTCTATCCGGAACGTGGCTTCTCCGTTCTCAGAGAAAGCGATCGATATCGGTGAAACGATTTGTACTTATCGATAGACTTACGAAAGGTGAATCGGTTTAACCGTGAATCTTATAGAGTTATTCCGTGAAACCTTAGTTTCGTAATTTAACTACAATTTTGGCCGCTGTTCCGATATTCAAAGTTTAACACTTTGAGCCCAGCCTAGCGTTTAATACGAAGGAAGACGTCGAGTTATTGTTAAGAAGACTGCGAAGATTCGGTTGGCGAAAATGAATTTGGCGCTTTAGTAATTATTGTAATAAGTTTGCAAAAAGTTGGAACAATTCAGCGATCGCCAGACTGCAGATTTCACTCGTCCATGGAAGAGGCGAATCCATAAAATAGAGAAATACTTCGCGTACCAACGCGAATAAAATATCGAAGAAGATCGAGAGAATATTAATTTGTCTCCGTGTCAAAAGCCTCGGTCGATAAAACCGAAGAATTTAGGATTTACGCGAAGAATTTTCCCGATCGGAAGTTGCAACGTTGATCAGTCTTAATTTGCTTGGCGCGTGCGCGACGTGTCCCGATTAATCAAATTCTTTAGTCGCGGAGACAAGACCCAATTTCCTTGTTCCATTTAGCGCCCTGTCGAAAAGATTGTCTCATCGATGGATATAGAGTCGTACGACGATATTGGAACCCGGAAGCGTCGCATCGGTATACTCCGAGCGATCGCTTCGTTTAGAAGAGAATATTCGCGTCGCACGAGCGACGCTCGTGCGCGAGAAACGGTCGAAAGAAAAATATCCTACCCTCGTCGCTCGATCGATTTCCAGATCAGCACTGCCAACGGTTCCGAAACGCGAGCACGCGCAGCAACGGAACGTGTACAGCCTGCGGCTCCGCTATCTAACCACCGAGTCGCGAATCGCGAGTCGGAAACGCGCTTAACCATCGGCGATCCAGCAACCTGGTAAGAAGAAGCATCTCGCGAGACCCCTATCGATCGCAACTGCAAAGGCCGCGGCCTCTACCCTCGATCCGCGTCGTGATACAGAACACACCGACACCCAACGAACTTAGCGCGACCTAGACGACGATCATCTAACGGCTCGCATCGCGTCCGAACGAACCGTCGATTAATGAGCCCGGGATTTCCGGGTACACCGAGACTTGCATGGAAAAAGACTGACTCATGAAAAAAGCGCGACACACGCGGTACAATGCGCATCGACTTTCTGGGACAACGATTATAACTATCGTATATGGTGTATACTCGCCTAAAATCGATTGATATCGGTAAATGACTTAATAAATTCCGTTAATATCACAACACAATTACATATTCCCATCGCTCACTTGATCTCGTACGCGCCGAGGTTGCCCTTGCGTCTCCTGTAGACAGCAGGCTGCTGCTGCTGCTGCTGCTGCTGCTGCTGCTGTTGCTGCTGCTGCTGTTGTTGCTGCTGCTCGTTGGTGTGGTTGCCCTGGACGATCGATCGCTTCACGTTCGCCCTGTACTCGTCCTCGTACGCGTTCAGATACAAGTTCTTTAGAAATATTTGATTATCCAGCTCGGACGGCGGCAGAAAGCGCTTCGAGCGGCTCTGCTGCTGCGCTTCGAGCTCCTTGAACGTCAACTGTCTGGTCTTCTCGTCGTCGTAGGCCTTCCTCGAGCGCTTCGAGTTCCTGCGCACCCTCCTCGAGCCGTCCTTCCGCATCGTTAGAACGTTCAAGCCCAGCAATCGACGCTTCTGGTGCGTGGGACTCGCGTCGTCCGACGCGTTCCGTATCCGCTTGCTGCGGTGCTTGGGCGCACCCTCTTTGCTGGCCGGGATCTCGTTGTCCAACACCGAAGATTCGTTCCCACCTGCCGCGAAGGATCGATTCTCGTGGCTCTCGATCTCCCTGGGTGTCGCCAAGGTGGTCGTGCTGCTCGTCGAGGTCGTCGTGGTCGTTGTCGCCGTCGTCGTGGTCGTCGTCGACGACGCGCTGGACGCCGTCGTGGTGCTCGTGGACGACGAGGCGGGCAACGTCGTCGGCTCCGAGCTGTCCTCGCTGCTGTTCAGCTTCGCCTCTATGATATGTTTAAAGAACGCGTACATCTCGCCCACGGTGAACGTGCTGCCGTTCCTCACCGTGAACTTGTCGATGTTCATCCGCTTGATCAGCTCCTCCGTCGCGTTCCTCGCCTCCAACATCGACAGCTTCTCGGTCACGTAGCTGTTCACGAACTCGTAGAAGCCTTTGTAGTAGTTCTTCCGGTGCTTCTTCTTGTCCTTCGACTTCTTCGATTTGTCGCCGTGCGGCTGGCCCTTCTTTCGCGAGTCCTTGCGACCCTTCTCGTTCCAGCGGGTCGACTTGTTGTAGAACCGCATGATCTTCTCGAACTTCCGCTTCAGCTTGACGAACTCCCGTTGATTACGAACCTCGAACTCGGAGCGGCTTCTGGAACTGTTGCGCCGGGCTTCGGACAGGTCCACGTGGAAGAAGTTCTTGCTCATGGCGTTCAAAAGGTCGTGCATGCTACCGTTCGACGAGCTGTTCGATTGTCTGGCGTCGATCCGCTGCAGTTTCCTGTAAGCGATCTCCAGGAAGTCGATCATCTTCTCCTCGCGCAGCTTCGAGCGGTTCCCATGGTTCGCGTGCTTCTTCCAGGATGGCTCCGTGGAGTTGTCGGTGCGGTGCTGCGTGAAGTTCAGAGCCTTCTCGGGCTTGTGCTTCGCGTGGTCCTTGCCCTTGTTCAGCTCCAGGCGGAGCAGCTTCTTGCCGATCTTGCGGAAGAACTCGATGAACTTCCTGCGGGCGATAAGCGGACAATTTGATATTACAGCCGGAGACGGTTTCTAGAATTTTTTGGCGATTAGGTCGAGGTTCTAGGATTTGGAAGAGCGAAGGAACTCGAGAGGAGATAATTTAAATACTATGATAATAATATATCACTCTTCCGTGCCAACCCCTATCTTCCATTATTTTTTAAGGAGTTGCTCGCAAGAGGGCAGTTTCACATTACAGCGACTCGATTCGAACAAGTCGCCGTAACAATATTATTAGATAACGAAACAATCGGCAGCGCGAATCGACGGGGCAATCGAACGTTCCAACTCTGTCGCCTACCTGTAACTCATGGTGAGATCCTCGTCGCTGATGGACCGCCTTCGCCTGCTCCACCGAAGCCTAGGGTGCTGTCCAGGTATGCACTTGGGCAGTTCCTTGGGACTCCAGTTCCCTCCGACGCAAGTAGCCCCGGTAGGTTGGCCTTCGTCCAGCACGTAGCCCTTGTCGCAGTCGTACATGATCTGTTTGTTGTTCACCACCTTCTTCACGTAGGGTCTGTAATCGTAAACGCCCATGTTTCCCACGAGGAAGACCTTGCCATTCTCGATCATGCCGGGGAACGGACAGAAGACTTGAACGCAGTGAGGAATATCTCCGGTCCAGTTCCCGTACTGGCATCGCACCCACAGCGAGTCGTTCATGGGTCCTCCTCCGACCAGATGGAAGCCGTCCTTGCACCTGAACGCGGCCTTCATTCCGTGATCCGTCTTCGGCGCGATCGCCATGCCGTTCTTCGGCGGCTTCGGCATGTGCTTGCACCGAGCCGGGGAACAACTTGGCACTATCGACCAGGTGCCGTTGTTGCAGACCACCGGGGTGCTGTTCGCGGCGAACTCGTAGTTCTTCACGCAGGAGACCAGCAATCGCTCCCCGTGCTCCACAACGGTGACGTTGTTGATGTGATCGTTCTCGTGGCTCGCCACCGTGATGTTGCCGTTTTCAATTTGCGGCACCACGCACGGGGCCAGACACTGCGGTAACGGGTAACGCCATTTTCCGTCGGCCTGGCAGACGGACGAGGCATTTCCCTCGAGCTTCATGTGGTCGTTGCACCGGTAAATTATGCTCGCGCCCAGACCCGTACCTGTCGCCGAAACAAGTCCGCGGGATTAGCAGGTTGTCGGCTGTCCGACGGATCGATCTCCGCGATCGATCGAATCGAATCTCGCTCGCGGCTCGCGCAGCGATCGCTCGTCAGAAGTTTTTTCAGGGATGATCGCGATATTGTCACGGTTTCGGAAACGGAACGAACGGTATTACGGTGTTACAGAGAGAAAAAAACTGTACCCACTGCAAGAGGATTTAAATACCGATTTATTTTTATTTCACGGAATTTATTTATAACGCGACGGAGAATTTGTTCAAGCGTTCAACTTACCGGCCTCCATATTCTCGATCCAGCCGTTGTAGAGAACGCCGGGTAAACCGCAATTAATTTCCTGGCAAGTGGGCATCTTTCCAGTCCATTTTCTGTCAGCGCCGCAGCGTCTCGTCCCAGCGCCTACCACCGTGTAGCCGTAGTCGCATTCGTAATGCACGATGGAATTGTATGCATACGAGGTGAAGACCGCCTTCCCTTTTACAGGGTTCTCCGGTATAGGGCATTCCACCGTGGTAACCTGAACAAGCGAAACGTTTCCACGTTGGAGCCCATGGAAAGGGAGTGACATGGGGTTGGGGGATGTTAGGACAACTTGCAATCAGTTCTAGAAAATATTAAATGTACTCTAAAGTAAAATACTATAAATTCTATTCTATGAGATGAAACCGTGACGAATGAATCTATTAACTCCTTAGTGGGCTTGCGGAATACGCCTGGAAATATATTAATTAATATATTAATTAGAGTTACATCGATGCAGGCTAAATTGTTATCGGCACAGGACAGACCACTTAGGGGTTGATATTGAAATAAAACCGAGTCGAAAGCAATAAAAGTCTTCAAATATTTAAAAATTGATCGTACGATGTAACTAAACAACTTAATAATTTGAAGTATCAAGTGCATAATATTTTAAATGCAAGTATTTATCAAACCGCGGATTTTATGCGTTTACAACAACGGTTGGATAAAGTACGAAACGGTAAAAATATTAAAAGAATTTAAAAATCCTTTATTTCATTTTCATCTCGTTAAAATATTACGAAGAGAAGAAATACATTACCGCGCGACCACTGTTTGTTGCAAATGAGGTAGAACATGTGTTCATCCAACGCGAAAATTCACGGAGTAATTATCATGTTTTCGCGTTTCGTTAAAATGTAAAACGCGGCTTGCAGATACGACAAAAATAATACGACCTACGATGCTGATGCAGTTGTTTGCAAACAGAATTGTTCACGAGATGCTTACTTGAACGCATTGTGGCGATTCCTTCGGGGTCCATGTGCCGTCCGCCAAGCAAAGCTTTTCAGCCTTGCCAACTAATTCGTTGCCCTCCGCGCAGTGATACGACACGCGACAGTCGTACGTGTAACACTCCCCTTAAAAAGCAATGATACCACGTTTATCCCAATTTTCAACGACACCGTCGACGTTGCGAGAACGTTGTAGCGATAATATCGTTGACAATATTGGCGGTGTTCGAGGTTGCCAAGGGAGGGAAACCGATACTCCGTCAAAGAAGATTCGTGGACTATTTTAAACGAGACCCTGAACGTCGAAAACACATTATACATATAACGTGCTACTACGATATACGCGAGCATAGCTGCGCAAATACGTCTAAACCCGTCATTCGATTAAAAACGTAACTTCGTGAATTATTTATCGGATGAAAATAACGATGTTATCCTACGGGAACGCTCGATGAAAAGCAATTGGATGATACGAGTATATTTATAATTATGCAGCTACGTGGTCGCTAATGATTGTATCGTTAATGCAGTTGCTCATAAATAGTTAAATACGGTACAGCAATATTACAGCTTTCATAATTCATTGGAAATCCGGGAGACCAGCATAGTCAAATTGTAAATCATTTTAACCCTCGTCGTTTATTGTTACTCGCGGAATTTAATTGACACGGTATTGTTGCTTAAATTCGTCTTAATTATGTAGATGTTTTACAAAGCTTTGCGACTCTTTCGACGACGTTTACACATACAATGAAGTGAAACGAATTTATACGAGTAACGTAAACATTTCGCAGGAACATCAAATATGCATTAAATTCCCGATGAATCAGGTATTTTTTCGAAAAAAATTTCTTCCGTCCATTTCGATAGAAGCGACATATTGCACTCGCGTAAACATTTCATTGCAAGTTCATGCACAAGTATTCCCACAAGGGAATGGTTCTCTATTATTAAGAAAATTGTCGTTGAAAACTTGGTGGAAAAGACACGTAAAGATATTTCTTAACAGATAACATGCAAACGATGTACCGCTTTATCGACCGAAGGTTTCGGCGACAAAAGAACTACTCGCATAACATGTTAATTCTCGAGTAAATAGAATACTTCTCCGGAAGTATATTCTTGGTAAGAATACTTCGTTAAAAATGCCTAGAAAAACAACAGACTCGAAAGCCAGTGCGCCACTTCGAATTAGAAAGAAAATACAAGCTGACACGGTCGCAGATTTCCCGACACCGTGTGCCCGGAGCACCGGCAAAGCCGTCCGAACAATTAATCTCGAAAACAAATGCTAATGCAATGTGGGTTGAGCAAACGTTTGCCGATCTCGCGGTGGCATTCCGCCGAACCGCGATAATACCAAACAACGGCTAGAAAAACAGTAAACCTAAACGCAACCGAATCGTACCCCGCGGGGTCTGGGTCCGCAAACATTTCGCCAGCGAATCGGTGCGAACCAAACAACCGTTGTTCGACGAACAAACAACGAGCAACGAACCCAGCCGCATACGTACCGGCGTGCCATCCGTTGGCGATGTCCGCCGGTGGATCGCACTTCTTCGGCTCGCAGGTGATGTCCGGTCCGAACCAACTGACCGTGCCCTGCATCAACAGGCACTTGGCCTTCCTGACCCCGTTGGTCACGTAACCGTGATCGCAGAAGTACTGGACAACGCTGTCCAGGTCGAAGGTCGTCTGCTCCGGTAGCGCGTTGTGCCGCGCGTTCGTCACTTTCGGCGGTTGCGAGCAGAAGGACTTGGGGTCTCGTTTGCAGGAAGGAGTGGTGCCGGTCCAGTTGCCGTCAGCCCTGCAGGTCCTCTCGGTAAGCCCGACGGGGAAGTAGTCCGGGTCGCAGGTGTAACGAGCCTGGTCCCCGAAGAAGCGGCTGGCGACGGTGACGGTGCCGTGCTGGATCGCGTTCAGCACCGGACACTCTCTCTCGGGCTTGATGCAGGACATGCCGCAGGCTCCGTCGCACCTGCATTTCTTCTTCTTGCTCTTGCAGTCCTCGTCGGTGGAGCACTTCCGGAGACACTTCTGGCCGAGCAGCATCGCCTGCTGCTCGTCGCGCGGGCACATCGCCGACGGCGAGTTCCTCGGGTTCTTGTAGATCCTGCCATCGTCGTCGACCTCCGGCTTCGACTGGTAGGTCTGGTCGTCGTCCGCGTCGTCCTCGTCGTCGTCCCAGTCGTCGTCCTCGTCGTCGTCGTCGTCGACGGCCGCGGCCTGCTGGCGGAGCTTCGACTCGGACGCGACGAACAGGGTGCACAGGACGAGCAACAGAAGAGCGGCACTCGGTCGCATCCTAGCAGTCTCTCTCGCTGAACAACACTGGCTCGAAGAAACTCGCGGAAAAGAAGCGCACGGGTCCAACGGTCCTCTCCCTCTCGCGCTCTCTCGCGCTCTATTGCGCTCTCTCGCACTCGGTCTCACTGGCTGGCCACGCGTTTACACGAGATTCGACGGAAAAACTGTCGGACCAGTCTGATGCAGAGTGCCAGTCTCATCCCGAGGCTCCGCCGAGGACGACGTCGTTTCTCTCGCGGCCGTGACTATTAATCGAGTCTGCCTCTTCGGCGTCCAGGAGGATTAGGATGGCGTGTCTCTCTCTCCGTCACGCTCGCCGCCTCTCTGTTCCCCTAACTCCGTGGAATTTTTTTCTTTATTGTGCGGACTGCGGCCCCGTGCTGCCGGGAATTCGCGGATACTCGCGCATCTCTGCACGCGCATTCAGCCTGTTCAATACATCTCCTCACTCGTGCAGCTTCCAGCAGATGGCGAGGGACAGGGGAAAAGCTCGGAGTTGCGCAGAAATCGACGACCACCCTCGGACACCTCTCGTTCGACCGTGCCACGCGAGGGGGATGCTTTCCATGGGCTCCTTTCTTTTTTTACGGACACCGTTGCGATCGGACACCATCGGACACGATCGGATGCGTGTCCTAACTTACCCTCGATCCCCCACCCTTCTCACCGCGGAGCCGAAAGTAGGGGAAACTCGTCGAACGCGGACCGGTCACCCGAATCGTCGATTAATTCTTTATTATTTATTACGCGAACCGTCCACCGGTCGCGATCCGATATCCCACGGTCTCTGTTATCCCTCTGTAACAACTGGTTCGCCGCATGGATTCGTCGCTGTTCCGTTGTCGAATCGAGCCGAACGGATCGTGTAAATTTAACCTTAACTTTACACGATCGCGCGAAATCGTGTTCTCTTTGAAAAATCATTCGTTCCATTTTCAATGCCGAGCTCTCGCGTTATCGAATCAATCGAGGTTAAAGTTTTGCCCAATAGCTGTATCGATAGCTCGTAACGGAGTATTACATTTCCTAGGAGAATTCGGTGAATACCGTCGCACAGAGAACGGAGAGACAACGGAGCCAGATAGCGCTATCCTGGCGGCCGTGTTTCCAACAAGTAGAAACAGACAGTCGGGGGCAGACATGTCGGCCAAGTGGTATTCGGTAGCGCTCGCACTCCAGCGATCTTCAAAGTTAATTTCCTCGAAAATGAAGCTTCCTATGAAAAATATTTGTTCTACATTTTCAGCTTGCTTCATTCTGAAGCATCGTTCCGTCCGCGCCGGTGCTATAATTTCTCGAGTACTCCGCCTTCCCTTTTCCAGCGGATCCGCCGCTGAAGAAATCACGACTTTCCGTGGGATAAACGTTCCCGTGCTAAAGCGTCCATGTCCCGGACCTTTTCACTCGAAGACACTCGTTACAAACTATAGCTTTGGTTCCACGATATTAAGTAGAAATGCTTTCGATTTAGACTTTCCAGAAGCAATTACATCGATGGTATGCATTTACGATTCGCCTATCGTCGATCGTCTGGCAGTCTTTTAAAATCGAAGAGTAATAATTAAACGTTTATTCGATACAAGTTTATTAAAATGAAACGATCGAGTGTGTTTTAGACACGTATGCACCGGGGCCGTTAAAAATCGGAACGAAGCGGGTAAACGAAGCGATGATAAAGCCGTCCGAAAAATGCTCTCTTAAATCAACTAAAAACCAGCAAAATCGTTCCTTTCAATATTTCCTCGACCTCGAAACGCAACGTTCGGCGCCGAACGAAATCGTGCCACCGTTCATTGTTCCCAGCAGCGTGTATGAAAATATGGGGGTAGAAAGTCGCGAAAATATCCCGCGGGAAGTCCGCTTAAAAATACATTTGCCGCGTGTCAATTTTATCGGTGTCTTCCGCTCCGAACATATATCTTCCTCCGTCGCGTTCGCGACAGAGTAAATAGGGTCCGCCGCGCAAACAAATATTCCCCGGCGTCCGAATCAAGCTCCGCGCTATCTTTTCCCCGGGCTGCAGCTTTTGCAACGTTCCACCGATCCGGCAATTCCGGCTCTAACAACGGGAATTTCTCGCTAAGCAGTCCGCCAGCAATTTTCGAATCGTTCTCCTCCGCGAGGCGTGCGGAATCTCGTGCCCCCCGGCTCGATTGCATACATTTTCATGCCGCCCCGCATGGAAACGTTACCTTTTCGCAACCATGCCGAAAACCGTAGCTACCCGTCGCAAAGTTACCCGTTAACGCGTCGAGTCACGGAATCGGGCACCTGCAGCCACTTTCTAACCCGTTCGCGCGCGATTCAACCGCGACCAGACAAATTGCTTCGATTTCGCTACAGATCCACGCCCATTCTAGCGGCGTTCCTAAGATTTCATCCGGTTCGACCGATTTGGTTCAGCCGATCTTGGCGTACTCTCGCGATCATTGCGTTCATAGACTCGTAGTCGATCGTCGGGTTGCGATTAAAAAGATAGAGACTTTTAACCCTGAATTATTTATGGTCCATTCGATCGTTCGTCTAGTCGGGACTTTCTCGGAGAAGGTACAACGAAGATGATCGCTTACGAAATAGCACGCTCGACGAATCTTGCAGATTCATCGATGCGATATAATATTATCGTTAACACGTATAAGTATAATATTCCCGACTCTGCAATTCCAGCAGTGCTCCGTGAAATTTTCGAAAGAGATGAAATTTTTCGCAATCCCGGAGTGCGGACAATAATCGGTAAAGCCGAAAATGAAAACTTCCAGCAACATCCCCGGATTAAATTTCAAGCTCGAAATATTTCGAGCGGGCAGGGTATGCAAACAATTTCGTCGGATTTTTACCAAATTGCGCGGGAATAGCGCGCGGAAAATGGAGCGTTCAAATAGCAGGGAATATTTGAAAATTCGGATACCGGGAGAGTTAGGGGAACAGGGGGCTTCCCCTAAATTTTTCTCTATCCGTTCGTATCCCGATTTGCATGATAAAGCGGCAACGGTGCGCGCGAGCGCGCCGCAGCCGGCTGAAAAACGTCGGAGATAGCGAGGCGTGGGCAGTAGCCGGATCAGTTTTCAGCGGACAAAACTCGATCTACGGTGCTTGTTAACCGTGGCACGAGGTAATCCCTGATTCCTAAGTTAGTTGCGTCGTTAGAGTAAGCCCGTGTCTCCCATTGTCTTCGTAACGATCGTAATCAATCGGTACGGTTCGATGCGCCGCGCCGGTTCACGCCGTAGGTGATCTCCGAGGGCCAATCTCGGGTATCGGCTTCATCGTTCTCGCCGCGTGTCCCCCGGATGTCTTCATTTGTCTTATTCAAATGAGTCGCGGTTCCGACGGTCCCTGGACCGCTGCGCGGCGATTCGAGAAAGCAACCCTTTCCTACAGAAAATTTATTTTCCAAACTCGATCGTGCGGGGTCACGCTTTCCGATCAAAACTTCCCGAACCTCCAGGCCCGACGAACAATTATTATAAAACCATTATCATGGTGTAAAATTCGTAACAATTTAATCTGTCGATTGGACGAAAGAACGCAGAATCCCTTGCGACATTTTCCCCAAGATTTGTAGAAGCATAGGTGAACAATGTCTTCGGGCTAGTGGAATCTTGCAAGAACGAGGCCACTCGGGGCTCTCGCTGCTCTGCACACAGAGCCGCCGGTTCTTTGCGATTTAAACAGCAAATTGGAGCGAATCTATTTGTTTTAGGGTACTTCCGGGACGTAATTTTTTATGGATTCGGTCTCGGGGACACGCCGTCTTATTTTCTCCACGCACCGTTTCGATCTCTTTAGAATTGCTGGAACCGTGTTTCGCGTTATCGCGAAGGAAGGAGCATCGATGCGACGACAAGGTTTTAAAATTGCTGTTTGTAAATGAAATTCTATCGCTCGGAGATATCGAGGGCACCGAAAAGTCCCCGGGCGTTTCAGATTCTTTGTACGGCCGAGTACCGAATGCAAATAAAAGGTTCCCGACAATGAAAGCACGTTTCGTTCGGCGAGCATCGTATGCATATTTTGTCGAACGGAATAGCATTTGTAGGAGTTTCATTAGAATACTTTATTTGGCAGGCTAGTACCGACGGGCTCCGTTCATTAAATATCGGCGTTACAATAGGGCATCAGCAATGGAGATGATTCCCCGGGAACGTATTCAACAGTTTCTCCGAACTAATTTCCAAGGCTGATCGCGTTCGCAACATCGTGGGATACGAACGACGCGACTTTTCCTCTCGGTGCCAGCGCGAACGGCCTCCGAGGGTTATTCATTGTCGGGAGTGTATCTTCGTTTAGACGCGAATGTCAGGTGAGATTGACAGAGTGGCAGTAACTCGGTAGCTGAAAATGGGAGTGGCTGAAAGACGAGAGGACAGCTCGCTCAGCGACATCCCCGCGGCGCCTCTTCGCGGATCTCGAGCCGAGAAGCAAGGACGTAAGGAAAACAGTGGTTCTCACCTGCCTGCAGCCATTTTTTATATTTCCATTACGTTTTCGTATCGGCACGCGTCGTTTTCGTGAATTTTTCACGGCCGGCATTTTCCATTTTCTTCGTTCTCGAACGTCGGCATTTTCTACTCTAACAGATTTTTAGGGGCAACATTTATCATTTTATCTTCTAGCAAGCAGCAAACCGTGGAATACACGTATATACAATTGAACACGGTCTTGCAATCGATTACCAACAATTGTCGGCGAATTAAGAATTATTACAGTTTGTGAAGTGCCGAGAAGTAAATTGCAAACTTTCCGCACTTCCAAGTTACAGCATCCACGAGCGTACAATCGAAACGATGTTCGATGCAGCCTTCGTTTCAGTCTCATTGTATCCGTCGAAATAAACTTCCCTTTCACCGGGAGTTACGTTAATTATTCTAGAGCGCGCAGAAATCGGAATAAATATCCGCAGTCGACTTGTTATTAATTCTCCCCGGCCGGCAGACGGGAAAGAAACGAATCAAATTTGTTGTGAAACTTCGGTCGAAGAGTATCCTTCGAATGGAATTCAAAGGATCGGCTGGTCCGGTTGCAATCTCCGTCGGCGCAGAAAGTGGTGTCTTTGTCGAGTTATTAAACTGCAGAAAAATATTTCAGGAAATGAGACTCTCTCTCTCTCTCTCTCTCCGCGAGAACGGCTCCGTTGTGTTTGTTTCATCGAATGAAGAACGTCCTTTTTGTCGCGCAGTGGGCGGTAAGCCAGCCTCGGAGCTGAAAGAACGACGAGCCCGCGGTGTCAGCTTACAGCTACGTGCCTACGTTATGTCGCGTTATCTTTTTTAATTTATCTCCTCCCGATTGAGGCGGAAAGACGCTGACAATAAATGCGCCGCGATCCGCCGGCTTTTCTCTCGACTATCGACTCTTCGGTCTCGGCGCTCTCGACTCTCTCGACTCTCGACTCTCGACTCTCGACTCTCGGCTGATGCTGCGTATCGATCAG